TTTTATGTCTCATAATTGTATGTTCTCTCTAGTGTCTGCAGTGAAGCTCTGAGTTACTTCCTTACTCTTACATCAGAAAGTCATCGGGAAGCCTGGACTAATCTCCTTCTCTTGTTCTTGACTAAGGTCCTGAAGATAAGTGATGAAAGGGTAAGTATCTGTTGTGAGGCCTATTTAAAATCAAGCAGTGCAGATAAGAACTGGTCCTAAGCTTTGTCTGCAGACTTTTTTTTATGATTTTAGATAGCTTTGGAAGCATAAAGCCAAAAAATCCCACTAAGATGCAGTAAGGCTGTTTTGTGGTACAATTTTTATTAGTCTGTAAAACATTTTTAAAAATGTCTCTGGTAGCTTAAAATCGGCACCATACATACAGGCTGGGGAACTCCCCTCTTGTCAGCACGGAGGTGGAAAAGGATCTGGGAGTCATTACTGACTCCAAGATGAATGTGGGGAGGCGGCTAGGAAGGCCAACTGCACCTTGTCGTGCATCCACAGATGCATCTCGAGCAGGTCCAAGGAGGTGATCCTCCCCCTCTATGCGGCACTGGTCAGGCCGCAGCTGGAGTACTGCGTCCAGTTCTGGGCGCCGCACTTTAAGAGGGATGTGGACAGCATCGAGAGGGTCCAGAGGAGGGCCACTCGTATGATCAAGGGACAGCAGGGTAGGTCCTATGAGGAAAGGTTGCGGGACCTGAACCTGTTCAGCCTTCAAAAGAGAAGGCTGAGGGGGGATCTTGTGGCCTGTTATAAACTGGTTAGGGGGGATCAGCAGGCGCTGGGGGAGTCCCTGTTCCCCCGAGCGCCGCAAGGAGTGACCAGGAACAATGGTCACAAGCTGGCGGAGGGAAGGTTTAAGTTGGACATCAGGAGGCGCTACTTCACGGTCAGGGTGGCTAGGGTCTGGAACCAGCTTCCAAGTGAGGTGGTGCAGGCTCCCACCCTGGGGGTTTTTAAGAGGAGGTTGGATGACCACCTTACTGGGGTTGTTTGACCCCAGTACTCTTTCCTGCCATGGCAGGGGGGCGGACTAGATCTGCTCAGGTCCCTTCCGACCCTAGAAACTATGAAACTATGAAAATTTAGACCCTACATTGAAACAATATTTGAGGTGGTGACAACCATCAAGGGAAGTCACCAAGGCTGATGGCAGGACAACTGGAAAAGAATAATGTAACCCTTCAGGAGCATGTCTCTTAGTTAACTTACTCCCTCCCAAAATAAGGAAGTGGTTACTCCAAAGGACTTCCCATAATTCCTAGTTTCTGATATTTTGTGCTGGGAGTAATAATTAATTTCAATTGTCTTCACGTCTTGCTGAATCAAAATGTTTCAGCAAATATTAATATGAAATATGAATTTCAGCAGGAAAAAATATTTTTTTTGTATTTTCCTGGCTTTAATAACATTTGATGGCTGTACTTTCAAGCTGACAGGGCACATAAATCTGGGCTGGTAAAAGGAAAATCCTTTCCCTTTCAAAATAAGCAAGCTAAGAGAGATCAATATCTAGCCAGTGCAGTCTGCATACATGTTATTTTTAAAACAATGCAGTCTTAGTCCCAGTAATAAAATTGCTTCTAATTGAATTCCATTGATTTTTGGCTGTAATTTTGTTTCTCACTTGGCATTGGGCAGGGCATGGGGAGTCTGAAGAACAGGCTGTCAAATGAGTAACGCCTAATGGAGTAACTATTTGTTTTCCTTCCTCAGTTCAGAGCACACGCCTCATTCTACTATCCTCTCTTGTGTGAAATTATGCAGTTTGACCTAATCCCTGAACTTCGAGCTGTTTTGCGAAGGTTTTTCCTGCGAATTGGTGTAGTTTTTCAGATATCCCATCCACCAGAGCAGGAGCCTGGAACAAACAAGCAGTAGCATACAGAGACTGAATATTGCTCTGTTACAAGATTCTATTTATCAGCTATGTAAAAGGACCAGGTAGCTGAGGCTCCGTCTGGCTAGCCATAGAACGGTTTTTTTGTATGGCAGCGTATCTAAGGGTTAATGGTACAGCTTATAACTGTAATTAAGGCTTGCAACCCTCCAGTCCCTTGCAGTTTTCTGATGGGTTATCTCTGTTTATCTTGCCTGGCTCATGTTGAGCATCGAGCCAGTTTTTAGCAAAGTCCTGTGTCGGCATGGGCTACAATATCCTTTACTGTCCTAGACAGCAGTATAGCAACCAATGTTTATGCTGGGGGTGAAAGTAAAAATACCCAAATAACTTTACATAAAGGTTTGAACTTCTGCAAGAAGTACAACTCAGGAGAGCTGTATTTTGAAGGATAAAATGTTTATAGTGAAAAAGAATGGAAATTATTGTTGATGGTAAAAGACATTTAGCAACTATGTCTGATATTCTTATTCTGAAGATTTTTTGCACACTCAGGCTGTCTGAGATACTGGTAATCATCCTCCTGTGAAAATGTACAGAGATGCAGGTCTGTAATATACTCCTGAACACTATACAGTTCTTCCTGCATTGTTTTGTTTGGTTTCTGTATAATTGATTTGCTGATGAACCATAACATTTTGTTTTTCAAATGCACTAGAAGTTTGGGTTTATTTTTTTGAGTTGTGACTTTTGTTTTTGTTGTAGCCCAAAAGTTAGTGTTGCTGACTTTTGTCAAGAACAGAGGTAGAAAACATCACAACTGACATAACTACTTGTAATATACTTGTTTTAGGGCTTTTAAATATAATGAGCCTTTGAAATGATGATCCTTCAAGGACTGGAACTTGAATCACTGCAGACAAGTCTAGGTTGTGTCTACTGTCACACACATTTTTGTTTGATGTAGATTTCACTCTGTACAGAACTTAATGTTGAATATATTCAAGTAACAAATCTGGCATGGTTTGGGGATGGTTAAATTTATTGGAAATGTATTCATACTGTGAATTGTGCTCTGATGGTTAAAAGACAAGATTGTCAAGCATTCTGTATTACAATGGATGTAGAAAATTTTTTCAGATGGATAAAATGTATATGGTACAGATATGTAAAGTTTTCTATGTAAAAATTCTGTACAACTTTCTGTACAATATTGGTTCTCATCTGGCATATTCTAATCAGGTTATAGGTCAATAAAGTTTTTGAATTCTTTCATCAGTGCAATCAAAACCAGTGTAATCTACAGCTACTTGTTTCACCATTTTCTTTACCTGTCATGCTTTTAACTGAATTTGCACAGGCTCTTTGATAGAGCAGCCAAAAGTTAAACTAGTTTGCATAATGCTGAATAGGAGGGAAACAATAGATAAAAACAGTAAAAAGATTCATGTGTATTACTGTACTACCTAGAAGATCTCTGGTGTACTATGTCATGTACAGTTGCAGAGCAAAAATTGTAAACTCCTCAGACAGGAAAGTGTATGAAATGTCCAGCTATAAGATTGAGACAAGGTTATGGACAGATGGCAGAGTACTAGGAAATAGAGGCAATGTTGGTCAGTGTGATAAATGGTAGTCTCAACCCATCCAGCAGCCTAGTTGTTCCAATTTTTTTTTCAGGCTTCATGGCAAAGGCATTCCAAGGACTTTGGCTGTTCACATTTTTCTATTCAGTGGTTATAAGATACCTACATTTCAAAGCTGGTTGTTTGGTTTTTGACCTGTTGTTAAATATGTGGCTGTGGGAGACTAGGAACGGAAGCCTGCTCTCTACCATTTTGGAAGGCTACACTGCTTGGAGGTGAAACTAGTGCTGCTAGCAGTTCAAGGGAGAGATCATTTACCCCCTAGAGCAAGGCTGGAGAAGTCAGTACAGGAACCATTTGTCTGTCTTGCCTGGCACTGGAGGGTGTGGAAAGCCAGGAGCCTCAAGAAAGGTGTGCTACTCACAAGAAAACCCAGCTTATACAACCTTCCTTATGTACTGCAGCACAAGCCATATGCTAGCTTGTCCTACCTTGAGGCACAAAGCTAATTCTGAATGGAGGAGTTAAACTTTGCTGCAGTGATGCCTGCAGCCCTGCTGAGCCAGGAACATAGTCAAACACAGTTTATTCAAGACTAAGGTGGCAATCACTGCTGCAAGCTGCCTGTAACATCCAGAGCAGGGTGTGCTTTTTTTTTTTTTTAGTTCAAACTTAAATATTCTTGGTCATTTAAGCTGTGTTAGTCTATAAGGTGCACCTTAACTTTGCCTTCAGACTAACAGATGAGGGCTACAACAATTGCTTTGAATTTGCAGAGTATAGGCACAGGTTCACTACCCTATGACCCTGAAGAAGCATTTCCCTTGGTTCAGTTACTTTCACACCCAGCTTTAACTATCATAAAACATGCACAGGAACAAAAGTAATCTTGTTAAGTCATGCATTTTCTCTTGCTTCTACCCAGCCAACTGTTTTCCTGCTCCTTCAAAAGTCAAAATTAGCACCTTCTTTAGGATCCTACACACTTCTGACCATATCTTTGCTGTTCTACCCCTCCTGGAGTTCAGCATCTCTTCCCTGTTCTTGGCTTCTCCCAATTGCCTTGGCAGAAATTTTTGCTATAGCAGTAGAGTCTTCCTTTTGACTTCTCATCCATGTTTCACTATGCAACTTTATTTTAATAAAATATAATTTATTCAACTTTAAAAATCATAACCATAAATTAAATGCTCAGTATTTGCACTGTCAATACATTCAATGAGTCAAAGGTATAATTAATATGTTGACCTCAACTGATTCTGGAAAGTAGAATGCAACTGGTATGGTAATAGGCAATAGCTTATATCAAAATACTGCCCACAAAGCTCTCTCAGCTGTAAGGCAGGCACCATTGATTGAACACAAACAGGCTACAACCACATTGCATGTTCAAATACCGAGTGCTATTCTTACTCCATAAAAACAGCAGAAGTTCTTTGAATAGGATAAAGGAGGATACACCCTTTGCCTGTTGTGCTTTGTGGTTGACTAAAGATTTCTAGAGTTTGTTTGACATTTATAGTACTTAAAACATTCACTTTCATTTAACACCAAGTTTATCCAAGTTTCAGTTTTTCAAGGATGAAAAATAGTGATTTCTTCAAGTTATAGAAAAGTACACTTTAACACAGGAATAATAAGACATCCTCTATACATTTCTTTCTTTTAAAGAAATCAGTTATACTACAGTTTCTCTCTGAACATATCACTTTAAAAATCTTTTACGAAAGCTCACAATATTTACACAAAATAAGACTATCGCTATAAGAGACCATAAAAAGTGCAGTAGTGATTAACACTCCTTCTGTGATGAAAGGCACAGCTGGTTTCGATATGGATTTATTCAACCATGTGCAGTTGACAGGCCCTGCCAACTAAAAGGGAATGGGTTTTCTGAAGTAACTTTAACCTGGCTCGACTCTCCAGCCATAAACCTTTTCAGGGTCTCCGATGTGCCTGGTCGCAGCCACAGATCTGTGGCTACTGTGTCAACAGAGTTAGGCCGTCTGCCATCTTTGGATGGAAAGTGATTCAAAGTAGCATCAGCATCTCCCAGGGAAACATCAGCACCTGAAAGAGAATTGACAACACAGTAAAGCCCATCACTTCAGTGCTACCTCTTTATTAAACTTAACCTATTTCTTCCTTCTTAGCATGCTATGTTTTACAGCAAGACAAAGACCTGGAACACACTGAACAGGGAGATGCCTCAAATGAAACTGGTCTATAAGGAAAACTACTCTGAAAATTTCCAGGGTGTCTCATTGTGATTTTCTGTAGTGCTACGTATGTTGTGTGGTTGGATTTAGGCAGAATCTTATCCATAGTACATGGCTGACCTTGAAGGCCAGTCTTGCTCTCTGATTTTGAGCCTACTTTTATGGAGGCTGTCATGACACAGCCTTTGATATCAGTTTCAGAGAAAAAAAAAGTCCCTCAAAGTCCTTGTTAAAGGCTGACTTGTGCATGCCCATGTGCCCTTTGTTAACCAAAGAGCAAGGAAAAGGTTTTGGACCTGATGCAGAGCAGAGGTAGCTTTGCCACGTGGAGCCAGTAAATGCATCCATCTAACTGACTAACAAGCTGCTATGTTTTCAAGTAACATTGTTTGTATCCATCTTCTCCCCCACAAAAATAGCCCCTTACCATCAGGAACTAAGAGTCCATTGCTACAAGTACTTTTAGGCCAAGGAATCCTAACAGGGTTTAATCTTGCTATACAGATGCAAAAATTTGTAATGTTACATAGAGGCTTTTGTCCTCTTAGGGCAGGGCTGCAAGAGCAAGTTAACTGTAGATGAACAAGGGCAGGAGCTTACAGCAGTTCAATTTCTATACAGTAAATGCCCCTGAACATGCAGTAGTCTCATAATGATGCAAATGGACTGACCAGGTAGTGATTGCTGTTAATTACCACCATCATGCATTATTTAGAAGGGTATTCTTGCATGGGTGCTTACAGTACATGAGAGCATAGTTAACGTAATAGCCCTTGCAGAGGTGCTGAAGTCAGACCCCACTTTCCTGCCTGTGAACCTGCTCAGGAAAAAGGGCATTTTCACTTTAAACATGTTGCCCATTTTTTCCCTTTTATTTTTTATGAACAAAGCTTAGAGCTTTTCAGCTTGGAGGTTTGTTTTTATTTCCATCCAAACAAATATACCTCCCCTGCATGAGCTAGTAAGCAATGGAAGAATTAAAACAACTTAGTATAATTAGAAAAGTTATTTTAAGCAAAAGAAAGATGGCTTAATTAGTCTTGGATAATAAAGATGATTTCAAATTAAGATCAAGTTTCTGATTTTAAAGATTTACTGAATTGGAGTGTATTATCCCTTACATATAGAAAACTCGGTACTATCATATTTACTTGCCTACCACAGGCACCTTTCCATCCAAAACTGGGATGCAAGTCTTAAGTGTGGAAGCTGATTTTTCCACCCATAATAGAGGCATGGAAGAAACACTAAGATGGCTACTGACTCTTTTCTTCCTGTCCTTCTCTCTCCTCTCCCCACTAGATGGAGGGAGGGGGCTGAGTTTAGTCTTTAGCAGCAGCTACAGATTGCGGGTGATCTGTTGTCAGTACCACAGTTTGGGCCTTATGTTTTGTCAAATAAGATGTTAGGCAACCTCGTTTCCTCACTGAAAACTTATTAAAAGTTACTTAAACTTAGGATGTGGGATGGGGGGGATAAAAAAAATAATTAAAAAAAATCAAACTAGTTAGCTGGTTATATCTGTGGGATAACATGAAAAGTTTGTTCTCCTTGTTTTTATATTGATGTATATGTGGCTCTTATGTTTATGCAGCCAAAAACCCACAGTGAGACATCTTTTTATATAATTCTTCTAAAGGTTCTCCCTCACCTGTCTTCATTCAGCCAAACAAGATTTTTTTACTATTATTTTGGTTGCGTGTGCACATGGAAAATCCTATGGGATTACTTAGATATTTTTTGTAAGGATGTTAGGAATGCATTAGGCATTTATACATTTGTCTGCTCCAACATGCTAGAGATCCAGCACATCGGAGCAGACTTAGTTAAGTCCACCCCGCATGCGAGCTGACGCACCTGGTGCTGCATTGCATACATGTGTATAAATGGTAAAACGTATATCAGTGCACAGAAAATGGCAGCACTGCACTTTTGAACTAAAACACCTTAATGTGTTTTAGTTCAAAAACACGCTGCCACTGTTCTCTCAGTGCTAATGAGTATTTCACCATTTATACAAGTGTATGCACCACAGCACCGGGCACTTTTAAAAGCACCCAGCAATGTGGTACAAATGCTCATTATGTTTACCTAATGAAGGAACTACAGCAATAATAGCATACTAAAGTTTTCGGCACATACTGTAACAAGGCACAGAAAGGCCCTTTCAGCTGCTGGTCAGCTCCTACTCTTGCTAGGAAAGGCCGCAGTATACATTTTTGGTGAAGAATAACATCCCACAAATGTTACATATACCCTTGTAAAAACAGGAGAAGGTTAATTTCTCACTTGGTCATCTGAGGCAAAAAGGTTGATGTTAAACAGAAAGTCACTTTTATACTGTCTGAGCACATTTACACGTTCATTAAAGCCCAGTAGTTACTGTGCTTTTAGTTTAGCACTTGCTTAATGAAGTACTAAACTAAGTGTGCAGTAACTAGCTACTCCTCAGTAGTGCCAGTGAAAGGGTTTTTTTGTGACACTTACTGCACAGTAGTGTATTAGCACGTTTTTTGCCTGGCACACTACTGTGCAGTGTTGTTAGGCTACTGCACATTAAGCATCTCATGTAGACACGTCCACCGTGAAGTGATTAACATTTTTTAACCCTTATGGTCAACGGTTCTTCCTACAACAACAGAAGCAGAATCAGTGAGGGACAGCCCCAGACTCTAACATTAGAGCAACAGCTCTCCCCACATCCCTCAGCAATAGTGAACAAAGGCAACATGCTGTAAAACACTTCAGTAGCCTCGTTACAAAGGAAGCCACCACCAGTAAGCTTAAAACTCCCTCCAATTACAGAAAGCCCTTTTCATTATTATCAAAAGAGGGCAAACCAAGACCCCATTATTCTAGGAACAGTCGTTATCTTTGCTTGATGCTGAGGTTGAAGGTGACAGGTCCTAATTTCACAAGTCCCCTACAAAGCAAAATGGCTGGTGAAGGGGTGGCATGGGGGAAGCAGCACAGGATGCTCTTCCCTCAGTACCTCTAACACCGAAGATCTTGCAAAGCCTCAGCAGGGGAATCTGAGCTCCTGCATGGGATCCCTGGAAATTCTGAAGAAGTCTATTTCTATAGGTATCTACATATTTTTTTAATGAAAGACTGTCTGGTCAACTTACCCCTGACCATCACTTTTTAAAAGGTTAAAAATTTCAATCCAGATATTCATGATGAAAAACCTAACCTATCAAGGGGAAAAAATACACAAGTTTGAAAATAGGATTTTGACATTTGCTTACTCTACCAATTTAGCAGTGAAGCCTACACAGCTATTCATTTTATATTAAGAGTAAATAAGTATTGTTAGCCTTCCCCTTCTCTCAGTCTAACAATGGTTCTGGCTTTTATGTAAAAGAAAAAAAAAGTTTATTTTGAAGAGATCATCTGTCACTGGCCACTTTAGATGTAGCTGCACCTCCATAGAAAGGAAGTAATTTGTTACCCTCTCTAAAAAAAAATTTTCACAGCAAAAACAAAATTATTTGCCTTTCACAGTGTTTTTAACCCCCTGCCAAGCGAACAGATGGGAGTCCTACCCAAACCACCACCATCATAGGACAGCCCTACCAACCTAGGCATCCCATCTGGAAACCTCCATCAGACAAGTAGTTTCTCAAGGGGTAGGCTAGCTGCTCTACAGATTTCAAAAAGACTTCCTTCAAACTGGAAGCAGAGGTTAATTTCAATAGCCCTTTCAGCAAATGCCATACACAATCTGTGCAAGTTTATAAATAATTTATCTCTCTTTCAGGTCTATGATAATGTCCATACTACAAGTGTGCGACATTTAGCTCCCCTGGGATTGAGTGAGGTTTGAGGAATAAACTAGGCTATTTAATAAACAGATTCATTTTGAACTCTGAAAAAACTTTGTATATGAATTTGAAATGAAGCTTGAAAGTAGTGCTGTCCTTAGAAATGCTGTGTAATGGCACAATGAAGGGCCAGAACTTAAAAGTCCAAAAGAAATCTCAGGCACGCAGAATGGGAAGGGATGACACAGGTCAGTGGATCCAGTTCCCTGCCATCACAGGCACCTGTGAACCCCATCTAAGTAGCATCTTCACCCAAGCAATGCCCAGGCAGTCAGATGCAGTGAGGGTGGGTCAGGGTAGAGGATGCAACTACTGCTCTGAAACTAATGTCAGGCGGAGCTGATAAGGTGACTAGGCTAGGTATTTAGTAAGAATTTAGTGAACCACATGACACCAGGTTGGACAAATGACTATCTGACTAGGCATCTTGCAAGTTGAGAGTTCTGAGCTGCTCTTGAGAATCTTGCAAGGGAATGAGGAGGTCAGAGTTACTATACACAACTTGAAATGGCAAATGAATGTGAGATGTCAAAGACCCTCCTTTGGATACTTCCTCCACAGATCCAAACTGTAGGAGACATAAATACTTTAAAAGCAGTTCCTGAGAAGGGCCACTGCAAGAACAGACAGAGAAGATGGAAGTAGCAGAATGAATTAGACAGAATACCTCTCATTTCTGACTTCCAGGCCCCATGGGTTGGAAGTCATCAAGAGTTTAGGCTTCTGACAAAACTGAAAAAGGTTCTGGCAGGCTCTCAACACTGGTGCCAAATCTGCCTACCAAAAGACATGAATTGTAAAGTCATAGGAAAAAAAAGGGGGGTGGGCATTATTCCTGCGTACTGCATTGATATTTTTGTTAGGGACTGGTGACAGTACCAGATAGGTGCTGTTGACCAAAGGAAAGCTGTTGTCTTCCTCTCTTCTTAATGATGCCAGACATGTGCAAGGAATATAAAGTAGTTGGGGAGTCATTTCACAAATGGAGGGTCTCAGTTGTTGAATTAAAATGTTCACTGCCCTCAAAGGGAAGATCTTCCAGTATTTGGACCTTCCTGAAATATCCCAGCTGCTTGTGCCAGGTTGATGTTCTTGTTGCCCCAGATATGGCCTTGGAGAGTATAGGTATACTGGACTCATCTAGTACTGCTTTCAGGGAAGTACTACCTGTCACCTGCCCTTTGTTCGTTACAGATTTTAAAAGTTCCCCCACAGTCTAGAGGAAGGCAGGTCACTAATTAAGATAGTTTATCACAGTGCAGGTAATTTTATTTTGTGAGCAATGCTTGCTAACTAGTACTTGCACGTGAAAGCTAGATGAGGCTGGTAGCCTTCATGTGCAAATAGGTCTGGCTTCCTTGGGTCTTTCTCCCTATATTTTGGCTTGGGAGGCATTTGCTGCCTGGACTTCAGCGCATCTGCCACAACAAGAGGTCTGTTCTCACCCACTTCCAAAACATCCTCACGTCCTTTGGAACGGATTGAATACCCTTTGTCTACATTCTTGGATGTGGCTGGCATGGCAAACCTACCATGCCTGGAAGCGACTGTGTTCTTCCCTCCTGTGCCACTTCCAAAAGCGTTGAAAATGTGTCATGCATTTAATAAAGTCTTATAATGAGCTGTTCTCTACAGAAGAAGACACTAAGGATTTCACTGTTTCAGAGAAGGATCAATAGTTCTCTGCAACTCAGATCAGTAGTTCTCTTATGTACCTGATCTGTTACTCCTCTCCTGTCTCTCTACCATCTGTTTCTCCACTAAAGGAACAGATGGCCCAAGTCTGAGATTCAGGCCTCTAGCACAAGCAGACAAGGACATCTAGGCCAGATGAGCACAGACTTTTGGTTCCCTGGGGACAAGTAGTGGCAACACACCTTGCACCACCACTACTTGTCCACAAGGAATGCCAGTGCCACATGTGCTTTGTCACATGGCAAGTTACCCCAGGTGGGGTAGGGAAGGCTGGGGCCAGCACTGGGCTGGCCCTAGCAGCCTTACCCAGGGTCCTGGGGGCCTCCCGGGGCTGCAGCAATGGCTGTTCTACTGCGTGGAGGCTGGCCAGCAGCTGGAGCATGGCTCTGGGCAGCCTAGCTCCACTTTTGAGCAGTACTCACTGCCTGTGTGCACTGCTCTGCTTATTTTTCCACAGATTTTTTGGCCCTTGGATATCCAAGAGTCAAAAAAACCTGCAGGGAAAAAAAAGTGAAGTAGCACACGCACAGGCAGCACACCGAACATCTAAATGTGTGACACGCAGTTCCACAGACATGTTTGCGACACCACGCTGCATGGCCATGCTTGTCGGGATGCGACCCTAGGGTGCAGGGGAGGCCCCAGTAGCCATTGCTGACCAAGGGTACCTACAGCAACACAGTCACGGAAAAACATCATGGTTCATATACTCTACAGCACAGGAAGCCAACATGTGGCACAGGCAACCTCTGTGTGTGGCACACAGCAGACTGGGGAGGGAGCAGAAAGCAAAGTAGTAGACTGGCTCGGGAGCACAGAAAAGGGTGCAGAAAGAAGATCAGATCAGGCAGAGGATGGTGACTGGAGTGGCACTGGGGAAGGGTGCAGGACTAATTTGTGAAATGCCTGCCAAGACGGTTGGCCCAAACTGTTCTAGAGGATTTGTGCTTTCTACAGTCCCTAAAGTACTTTGATATCCCTGCTAAATAAGGAGCAAGTAAGGTGTTTATAACTGCTCAGACCAGGGTACTAACAAGATTACATTAAAATGTGATTGGAGATTTACACCAGTAATATGCACAACATACTGCCTGGGGCACATATCTGTATGTGTAATTAAAAGCAGATATGGTTAACACAAAAGGGAAATGACTTTCCATACCACATGCAGCCAGGCATGTCACTTCTATCATAGGAGCACAGAAGAAAGAATGGCAGCTTGAAAGTTATGGCCAACAATTCTAGCTTGTATAACTCATATTCAGGTAAAGAGAACCCGTGCTTTCTGGCATTTACTGACCTCCACTGGAGTGAAAACAGAACACAGTTCCATGTGTATGGCACAACTGGCCAGCTGTCTTGCAGGATTTATTTCTTTCCACTGAGAGGTCAGGTATTAGGTTGGATATCACTTGTCCTAGCCAGAACTCTTTAGACCTGGCATCACAAATTGTGTCATTTTATTACACCCCTGAAAAGGTGCTACATACGTTAACTGAACTGTCTGTGGATCAACCAATTTTCCAGGAGACAGAAGTATGAAATTATTTCAGAATAATCCCATTTACCCGTTTGAGTCAATTTCTTGTTTAACCACAATGAGTCAGATTGCTAATGTCCAAAGGCATACCTAAGGGAACCGATTTCTTCTGAAGTACAGCCAGTCTTCTCAATCGTTCTTCATTCCTGGCTTTCAGCTGATTAACACTGAGACTGGAGCTTGAGTGTAAAGAGAAGCTGTCAGACAGTGCAGCCTGGCTGACAGGGACTTCATTCTGCAGATTTAGGAAACAGGGAATGTTTCAGTAAAGATTATGCCACTCCTAAACAGCTACTGGAGAAATGACCAATTTATTTCATACATGTACATCATCTACTGAACTAGCAGCCATGCAGACTGCTAGAATAGCAGAGATCCACATCTGACTTCAGCTGAAACCAGAGGCTTAAGAGGAAAACCTTATAGCACAGAGCTGTAGGATAATGTCCAACTCCCCTAAGACTTAAAGATTGGCTTGGCTAGGAGAATGAAGTTTAATACTCTTTTGAAGATTGGTATTCACCATTGTGACTAGATATTTTGCCAGAAGACAGGGTAAAGATGTACTTTACAGAGTAACTGAATCCAAGATGCATAAACTTGCTTGAGCAAGAGCTCACTAAGGTGCTTCTCTACCCTGCCTTCTGCCTGACTTCAGACTAACATGGCTAACCACCTGGTTAACATTATGGAGGTCTGACTTTTTGAATCTGGAGATCCCCAGCCTCCAGTCCGCCAACTACACCTAGCCCCTGGAGGCATGTCATCCAGCCTGCAGGGCTCCCCAC